AACGTTTTATAATCACTAGAGTTAAGCAGTTTGTATTCGATTAATATAAAGTCAACTTATACTGATCTGGAGACTAGCAGAGGAATCCAGGATGGGCGTTTCATCCTATTTGGGACTCGTTAGCCAGATGTACCTGTACCTCAGTGAATGATGTTGATCCCACTGAGGTCCAAACCAAGTACCCATCGCTTCAAATGCCAGACCATTATCCACCAAACCACTGAGGCACTATTGTGAAGCGATAGGTACTGGGTTTGAGCCTCAGTGGGAACAATATCAATCACTGGGGTCCAGGTACATATTGCTGACAGTCCAGAATAGTGTGAAACGCGCGTTGTGGATTCCTCTGCTAGTCAGTCACCAAGATGCATATAACATTATGAGTATCCGGTAGTAACGAGGCATCCGCATAAAAGCCCTTCTGACAATAAAAGTCGACCAATTCGGCCCTGTAACCTCGCCTAGTTTACTAGTTACTAGCCGGTCTTAAGCCCGGATAAAGAGGGAACGTTGGGCATAGGGCTAGCAACCCTACACCCACAAAACCAGTCTAATCACCAAAGAAACTTCAATGCACAAAGAAAATATAAAAAATTAAAATTAACTTACTCCTCGAAAGAATCGAGGAGACCAAACGACGTCGGTTGGCAAAAGCCTTCGACAAACCAATTGGCCGATGTGTCTTCTCTCCCTCGATGAAAGCAAAGGTGAACATGGAGTATACGCACCATATCTGAACCTAGAAAGGCTACCCAGATTGCAAACAAGATGAGAAGGTATAGCATAGAAGTGCGAGAAATCCCCAAAAGCAGATGTAATGGAAGTGGACTCTCAAAACTCGCAACTGAAGAGTCAATAATCTACTCCGATATTCTCACCCAGACGACAACCACAAGTACACTGAGTTATTCAGTGGCTATCATGATGTCCCCAACAGCACCGAAGGCTGTCTCTCATGCAGTGGAAACCAGGATCATGACAGAAAGATTCAACTCAAAAGGAAGGAAAATCACAATCATACAATGCAACGATACGCACCTACAAATTATGCAGATCAAGAGAAGAAGGAGGAATTCTACAGACAACTCCAATCACTAGTGGAAAACACAACACCCTAGATGGCCACATCAAAACTCATTCTAATGGGTGACATGAATGCAAAACTACGAGCGGACAACACACAAAGAGAACTAACTCATCATGGGTCGAGAGCACCCGCTGAAATGATCAAAAACAATGGAGAACTGTTTGCAGACTTCTGAGCATTCAACGATTTCGTGATTGCAGGCCAGGCAGTCTGTACAAACACAAGGATATTCACAAGGCAGTGACATGGATCTCATTTCACTAGACACCAGGACACACTACACTAAAAATCAGATCGACTTCATCTCAATCTCAAGAAAATGGAGACGCAGTCAGCCTACTCGACACAAGATCAGATCACGAAGAGGAGCAAATGTAGGTTCACACCACTCACTTCACTATCTAGTGCAAGGAACCTACCTTCAAAATCAAGTGGAAAGCCTTCACAGAAGTTGGTGATGATCAACCACAGTTCAAGTTCAACAACCAGAAACTGAAGGACAAAACTGTAAAGGACATCTTCACCTCAGCCATCAGAACAAAATGGGGGACATAAGGCAACATCCCTGAGGAAACCTGTGTGGAACAACACTGGAACTCTTTGAAAGCTATGTGGAAAGAAACTTGTATAACCGTGTTAGGAGGGAAGAGGAAAGAAGACAAGGAATGCATCTCCACGTATACATGGGAGCACACAAGGTTTGCAAGGAGGGAAAGAAGGGTACCTGCCAAGTGATTGGGAGAAGGGCTACCTTATCAAACTCCCAAACAAGGGAGACCTAAATCTCTGAAAGAACTGGCACGGAATCATGCTTCACTCCTGTCCACCCTAAGCAAAACACTAAGCCACATCATCCTGGCGAGACCAAACGATGCACTGGATTCAAAATTACCACACAAACAGGCTGGCTGCCTTCAGGAAGAACAAATCATATCCCGATCAAATTGCAACGCTACGCTAAGCATCATCATACAACAGAGCACAGAATGGCAGTCAACTCAACTCAACCTCAACTTCATCGACACTGAAAAGGCCTTCCACAGTGTTGACCGAGAAGTAATCTGGCATCTGCTGCTCCAACACTGAGGTTTTAGTGCCACAAACCTTTATCAACCTCATTCAACAGCAGCTAGATGCTATATGATGCTACATGTCAAGTGATTCTCAACGGAAAGCTCAGTGAAGACAGGAGTAAGACAAGGCTGCCGCCTACCATCACCCATGATCTTCCTGGTTGTCGTCGACTGAAATACATCATGCAGCTTACTCTGAGGGGCTAGATGAGGGGCATACGCTGGTCGAACCGATGAAAAGACCACAGAAGAAGATTTGGATTTCGCCTCAGATAATTTATGTCTAATGTCTTGTCGCACAAACTCGAAGATCTACAGGCGAAAACCAACAAGTTGACAGAAGAGGCAGGGCAGAGAAAACGGGACTTCAAGTGAATGTAGAGAGGACGGAGGTGATGAAGATATCCAACCAACAACAGCATCAACAGCAAGCACCAGTCACCAACCAACGGGAGAAACTCAAAGAAAGTTGTCACTTTCACCTACCTAGGCAGGACAGCATCGTTTCAACTACAAGCGACACAGGCACAAACGAGTATGTTACGGCAGCCATGATTGGAAAAACAGCGAGACAGGCTTTCAGTAACCTGAAATCAGTATAGAGATCTACTGCACTGCACTCCACTCCACTCAGCATACAGTGTGAACAAGATCCGGATCTTCAACACTAATGTCAAGTAAGTCAGTGCTTCTATGTGATGGTTCAGAGACTTGGCGTGTCACGAAAAGCATTTCCAACAAACCACAGACATACTTCATCAACAGCTGCCGCCTACGCTCACTCGATACTGAAGAACATATCAGATGGCCAGAATAGTGAGAATAAGTAACAAGGAACTCTGGCTGACTGACTAGCAGCTGACCAATGAAAATCCCATCGCTCAACAAATATGCAGAAGGAAGTGGAGATGGATTGGATTGGACACACACTGAGAAGACCAATTGGGGACATCATGCACCAGGTCAGGTCGTCGAGTGGAAACCAAAGGGGAAACGACGAGTTGGGCGTCCAAGCTGAGGGTCACATGGAAGAGATCGTGTGAGGAAGAAATGAGAGCTTCTGGGCAGTGGTGGAGCCAGGTTGAGAAGACTGCAGAGAGAGAGAGAGAGGAGAGAATGCAATGGAGACGTGCTACTGAAGCCTTATGTTCCACTAGGAACCGAAGGGATAAATAATAACAAAAATGATTCGGCCCTGTATGACAACGGGAAATTACAAGTATCATAACAACGAAGTCAACTAATTCAAAATTATCTCTCTGCCAACTTAGATTCTGTATGAAGTGATAGGCAATAAATTTATGTTTTCATCCTTCTCTGAAAACTAACTACTTCGTCAGTGAAAAAAGGGGAGAAAGAAATTTACGGTTGAAACAGGCATCATGTGTTAACATCTAATAAAATGTCAAATCTTGAGGGTCATATCATGTGTTGAGTGATGCCATATGGTGGTGGAAGTAGTTATGTTGGCGGCTGATGGTAAGAGAAAGGAGGCGACTATAAAGCGTATAATGACTAGAGGGGAGGTTATAACTACAACAAACAGTATGTAGAGTTTTAAGGATAAACAGACACGTAATCCAATTGGAAGATGAACTCGACAGACAGAAACAAACCAATTTTTCTTGCCCTAAAACGTACAGATTGCTAGAGAAAGAACACTGATTTATCTATCAACTCGGTCATTAAAATGCAAAATAAGCACAGCGAATATTTATTGTGTTAATACAGGGTGCATGTATGTTAACGAGGAAAGAACTCCCAAACCATCAAATAGCACTCATGTTCTTGTTAAATAGAGATTGTTATGGGTTAAGACTAGATCTCTAAATAAAGAAATTTTATCTTAGTAGGTGCATAGATTAGAAAAGCAGAAATTACTGTTTCATAAAACCAAGATGTTTGCTTATTGCTCAAAAAATTATTGATGCATACATCTTTTCCCCTGTATGTTACTCACTTCAATGAAGATTTAATTACAAGAGCATGAAAAAGAGAAGAAAACAGGAAATAATTAATAGTTTCACTAAAGCGGCAGAACATTTTCGAGATCACCGGAAATGTAGTACCAGTGAAAAATTCGTGAATCAAGTTTCATAAAAAAATGAAAGTTATAAATATTTTCTGATTATATAGTTTGTTACTGGTGAGTTGTGTACCTCACGTGTTTTATCCCACTTGAGGATGATCAGACTGATCCACTAACACGTCCGTTTGTACCCCATTTGAGACGTTAGCTCAGCAACTAACATTTCAAAACACAATACTGCATCTCGATAACGATATTATGTACAACTGTCATTAATTGCCATCATTCCTTTTGCATTATTGATGTACAGGGCATGAGTGGTCAACCTCTTTTAGCCTATAGGTTGGTTGTTTAGATGTCCCCATATTACGCTAAGTTTCACTAAGATATCACTTGATGTAGAGTTAACTAATTCACTAGGCTATTGTTTTCAAGATCACTCTCTTAATTAATAAATAACACTGCAATAATAAGTTTACTTTGATGTTTGGTGGAGTTAGTTGACAGTAGTATTCAGAACACTCCAGAACCAGAGTACTGTTGGAGCTTACCAATTACTTCACAGACAGACTTTCGAGAAGCACCCTAAATTATTTATCACATACTAAAAAAGTGAGGAATCACGCTGCACTTCTACCTTATACAAGCATATATACACTGCTTACATCAGATTTATTGATGAGGCAAAGAGTAATGTAACATGAAAGAAAATTCATAATGATTTTTGAATAGTCAGTATGTAAATCAACAAACAGGTTTGCAAAAGCTTTAAGAATATACATAAATCTTAGTTATGGAATTATTTACTTACAGACATGTCTAGAGCTTGGTCATTTGACGCAAAACTGATATCTTCATTGGCTTCAATACTATTCACAGGAATTAAATTAGTTCGATCTGACCCTGCCCTATCAACTTTAGAGTATACTGGTGCATGAGAAACTAATGTAGTGAAACTCGGAATATTTGACATTTCAGATGTAGAGGTTGCACAAAAAGATAAAGGATCAATAACATTATTGTCGGTTGGTGTAACACTACTATTTATTGTTATTGGCATATGTATTCCCATTGGTTGTGGACCTGCTTGTGAATGATTCGATGCAGTTAGATGGGCTACTAAGGCTGCAAGGCTTTCTGAACTAGATAAGTTAGATGGGCTTATATGTGAAACAGACTGTAAACGACCAATGTTATCAGCAACATTTATTGAGTTGTTTCCTGTAGTAGGTAGATTTGTGGAATACGATGATGCCGGTACATTAATAGATGAAATAAGGTTTCCGTTAGCTGCCATACATTTCAAAGCTTCAATTATATCAGGATAACGTAAAATTCCAGCGCCGTTTGCAGAGGGATTAGACGCTGCCGAAGTATCTCCAGACTGTGGAACCTTTATGGATGACGATATAGATGAATCACCTAGAGTTGGTACTGGCACAAATAAAGTAGGCTGTAATGCATTTAATGCAGTTTGTTGGCTTAAGTTGGCTGACAGATTAGTAGATGGATTAGTTAGGACCCATGCAGAAGGGGGATTATTTGCTGTCGACATTTCATGATGATTTTCTGTACTCGTTACTGGCAAAGTATCAGTAATATTGCTCATTGTTGACGTTTGCAGATTATGCATAAGTGTTGCTGACAAACCACAAATGAGATTTTCAGGTAAACTGGAGAGTGGGATTAGTTGTCCAAGGAAAGGACTAGCAACCGTCATTGAATTAAGACCATTTAAATGGGGAGAACTGAATGTTACTACAGGTACTTGCTTGGTGTCAGCCACCGAATTCCCAATAGATAAACAGAGTGGTGTGACGTTTGAAACAAAAAGGCTTTTAGAAGTGTTTATATCAGCTACTTTACTATCCATATCCTTGCATATTCGTTTAGACTTTGGTGACTTAATATCTTTTATCTGACCGTCAACTTCATCCACACCAGATGAAAAAGTACGCTTAATCGCAGGTGAACTGCCAAGAAGTGGATTCTCAATTTTTATAGAGTTGACTAATGATTGGTTCGGACCACATGTTCCCGTATCCATTTCTTCAACTGGCAAACATTCCTTTGTTGATTTTGATGCAGATAAACAGATACGTCCCTAAAAGTATGTGGATAAGTGTAAAATTAAAAAAATTAATAATTCACTGTGCAATTTACAGTACTCAATCAAAAATTATCATATAAATATTGCGAGTTTAAAAAAATTATCAGTTACATTTGATAGCTTTCTATTATTGAATAAGCTAATACTTACATATGTCTCATTTTACCAGAAATCAAAATATCGAGTGCAAACAGATACTGATTTCATAGTATGCAAAGTGGTCTTTCAGAGAAACATATAACACAGCTAGTAAGTAGTTGAAGTTCTGTCGAAGAAAATAAATGTGAATTTGTCTTTAATCGTGGTATTTCTTCCATTCAGTACGCTATTAAAAGTTTAAGCCCTATCACCTTTCCCACTCATAATATCAGTTAACAGTAGTTAATAATAGTGCGTAAAAATCATAATTATCGCATTTAGGAATATGGAACAACTCATAAACCTTTTCTGGTTCCTACCAACTTAATTGATTAATCCTAAGAATTACTGTTTTTATGCACAGTAACATAATTCATCAGGTGAAAAAGTCCTATAATCAAAGAAATAGGGACTTGGAAAAAAACGGAGATGAGAAATGAGCAGAATGCTCATTTCCCAGGGAATTCATAGTATTCAACTAGATCAAATGCATAGATCTTGTTCTGCACTCTATAGGCGTTGTTTACCTTTTTAATAGTCACATAACGAAAATGATATTTCGAGTGGTTTTCAGGAAGTGATTAACTTCACAATGAGTTTCATTAAGTCAACAGCCTTTGAACAATAAGTGAAAGTCGAAAACCAATGAGCAATTTTATTTTCTTATAGGCTTTCAAACATATGGCGCAATTGAATTTCTCATCTTCTAACCTTTAAAAATGTAACATAAGAATGGAAAACCAATGGTATACATAAGGTATTTTAACTATCCTAACCATCCATTCGGTCAACTCAGATATCATAAGTTTTAAGAAGCATACGTTGATTAACTGTGTTCAGTGAATAGTGAGAAATTTTACAGGTTCTAATAATGAAGAAAACCCGGTAAATGTGGAATATCATTCATTTTACATAACGCTGTAACGCTTTGAAGTTACTGATGCTGTATTCAAAGAGTCAAAAAACCAATTTTAAGTACATCTAGTTAGTTCGTCTGAAACAAGAGGATACCGGTGTCAAGTGATACCAAATAAAATTAAAACTACAATTTCCCTACCATTTAGAAGCAATATATTTCTTACCTTCCACAACATACTTAACTATCAGAACTCAAATTATTTAATTGGCTGTTTTTTGTCAATCATTTGTATCCTCCAACATATACTCATTTAATTTACGCGTTAACGCTCATTTTGTTAATACGATTAAAGCTATTGGTTGATATGAACTAACATTTAAAAAGGGAAGGAATATTAAAAAAGTATAAAACTGAGGAATGAAAACAAACTGAGCAAGAATAAAAACTAATGGTTAGGGTATGTACAATTTAATCCAATCAAAACTTTTAATTTTGTTTCACTTTTTTGAGAACAGTCTAAATATATTGATTAGTATAATTCTGGAACTAGTTGGCAAATAATCATTGATACTAAACGACTAGTCCCCATGCTTGCAGGGCAATACAAAAACATTGATTTTATGGGTACGTACTCGAATGCATACATATACAGTTAATCAGAATGAATTATTCGACTGACCCACTGATTGTGCTGAATATGTACATGTGCAGTGAATTCAAAGGCCACCGTAACAACCAATGAATTAACCTATTAGGTTTCTTTACTTCAGTCAGTACGATAAAATAATCCAAATTAATTAGTTAATTGGTCAATTGTAACACATTTGTAACACACTCGCACACATGTAACTCACTGTATGGAAAAAAATAAGATGGGGATCAGCAGTTAGCTCATAAATAAACATGAACACAAACCTACCTGTATTCTTCTAGAACACTGCAAAACGCAATCAGAAGAAATGAATCATTACCCTTAATGTACACTCTGACTAGTCTATGGATAGGAAGCAATTCTTCTTCGAATAAAAATAAATTTTAGTCAAGTAGCCTGAAAAACAAAAGTCAGTAAAACAAGTTTTTCCGTGTATGACTGAGATTAGAATTAGCAATGTGAGTTGTTATTGTTGATTACCATTCTGATGGTTAGAAAAGTCTGAATTATTTGTGTTCTTTGAGCTGGGTTGTTTAGTCATCCAGCTTTCATCGTCTTTCTAGACGACATCTTCAGCTCCACGACTAAACAACCCAGCTCAGAGAACTCAATACAACCAAGACCATCCACTTGAGCTACATTCTCCACCATTCCAAAATCATACGTGGTCAGAAAAGTTTCATCGTTACCGAAAAGCTGATAAAAAGTAACATTCTATGCCTTATATATATGGAGATTACGATTTATTTCAAGTGCATTGATAATTTGTACTATTCACAAGCATCGCTTAAATGTTCGAATAACAAATTATGTGAGAATGTTCGATACAAACAACACTATGATTGAATATTGAGTTCCATTACATAATTTACTCCTTCTGGATATCAAGTTAATAGATTTATTCATAAAAAATGAATCCAAGCGAAGGTACTGAAATTGTAGCTATATAGTCTTGACATTCCTACTCTCACTCGTTAACCAATATAGATATCAACGCCTGTTATCGCTAACCTAACAAATAAAAACCCATAACCTTCTGTGTAAACCTGTATATAGTTGTTAGGATGTTAGTCAATTGCATATTGCATGTCTGGTTATCTTTCATACTGTAATGATTTAATGACCGATTTCCTTATGGTAAATCTGAAATGCTAGTTTTAAATACACCGACGATAAGATTCCCTATTACTAAAGTAAAGCTGCAACTGATTGGCAATTAGGATTTGTTGCTCAGTTATTAGGACATAAGGTTGGCTTGTTTCAACAACCTTGGTTTTCACCTAAACTTCAGTGGTCATATTACTTCATTAAGTACTGTCTGCTAACTAAGTCTATCTCAGGTGGTATAATCAACAATTAAGATATGCACCGAACAACTATTGCAATCAAATGTCAATATCAACTAGACTTCTATGGTCTGATCAATAAGAATCGAGTATAGCATTTTTTTTTTCCCGACCGAAAGCTGCTACCTTGACGTGGTGGTCGGGCTTGCATATCACAATGACCCAACGAGCTATGCTGGTGGAACGCTTGTTCCCTCGAGGTCCTACCATACCAGAAAGGTCTGTTGGGTAGTGGTTAGACGAAAAGCAGTTACCGTCATAGTGTAAATTGCTACACTATGATGGGGGTCTGAGGGCGAAGTCGTACTGCTGCTAGCTGGATGGGGTGTGACAGCAGTAAGGTGTTTCCCTTGGATGACCAGCAGTGCCAAGCTGATGCTGCCTTCTCAGTGGAAGGGGGGGTTAGAAAAGGTCGGCCCCAAAAATAACACACTCCACCACGCCCCACGGTCTGCCGGGCCGGCGGTGTTGGTTCACTTGTCGTTTCCTTTCGCTCATCCGGCCCCAAAAATACAAAAATTCAAAATAATCATACTCAAAAGGCTGGGTGTGACAGGCCTCAAGCAGATGTCCGATGGGCTCTGCGGTCACACAAATCTCTTTCAGGTACCTTAAGAAGAAATAGCCTTCCACGGTGTGGGCAGCCGGGAAGTGTCAACCGCCCTCACAACTCTGTCAGCACCCAAGTTTCTTCTGACTGCTATCCTCCTCCTCCATCATTACCTTCTAATCTTCCTTCACGTCTCTTAATTAATGATGCTGCATCATCTTCAATTTCTCCTACCTCTGCAGCCTTCGACAACGATCTGAGTCCACAGAACAGTGTCCCTGGTCTCCTTAAACCACGCTCCAAATTACATATTGGAGCCTTCAATGTCCGCACCCTCCGTCAAATTGGCCAACAGGCTTCGTTGGCAAAGACTCTAGCAACTCGAGGCATGGATGTGTGCTGTGTTTGTGAGACACGCATACAGGACCCAAGTGTGGTTATTCACCTGACCTCTCCTGACCAATCTGGTGAATCTGCAAAATTCACCCTTCGAGTTTCTGGAGATTCGATAGCTAGCTCTCGTGGTCTTGCAGGTGTAGGTATAGCATTAAGCACCAGGGCAGAAAACTCACTACTAGACTGGATCCCAGTTGATAGTCGCCTCTGCGCTATGAGGCTGAACGGCACAGTGAGAACTAAAAGGAATAGTGAGACTCGCCGTTGTCTCTTTGTAATCTCTGCTTACGCACCCACTGACTGTAGTTCGGATGAAGTGAAGGACGAGTTCTACCATAAACTGTCTAACCTCCTCTCGAAAGCCAAACGTTCGGACGTAGTGGTTGTTGCAGGTGACCTCAACGCACAGGTGGGTAGACTGAGTGAGGCAGAAAGGCACTTAGGTGGCACTTTCGGAATCCCAGCTGAACGTACAGATAACGGTGATCGCCTATTACAACTATGCTCAGATAACCGCCTATTTTTAGCCAGCACAAATTTCAGACATAAAGAAAGGCACTGTCTGACCTGGCGTCCACCGAGCTCGACTCAGCGATGGACACAGATAGACCACATTGCTATTAGTCATCGCTGGAGAGGATCGGTGGAAGACTGCCGCTCCTTCTGGAGTACGTGTTTGGACAGCGATCATGCGTTGGTCCGAGCACGTATATGCCTGCGTCTCAATGGACGTAGAAAAAATTTGGCAACAAAACCACTACGAGTTCTGCTGGACAACGAAAACACCAAAGCCGTGTTCAGTGAGAAGTTGGCTAGGCAGTTATCGGAACAAAAGACTGTCACTCATCCAGAAGAAGCTTGGTGCCATCTTCAGTCTACTGTAAAAGCAGCACTGGAGACTGTAGCCGACTCCAAGATAATGGCTAAAAAGAGCCAGTGGATATCAGCAGCTTCTTCCAAACTAATGGATGCACGTGAATGCATCCCTGCAGGCTCTGAGTACAATGAAGAGCGAGCGCAACTTAAAAATAAACTGACGAAAAGTCTGCGCAA